TTAAAGACAACATCATAGTGCATGTGGCTTCTGAAATGTGACACAGTGTATGAAAAGTTAAAGTGGCACAGACTTTTTGCACAGGCAAACAGTTATATTTTCTTCATAAACTGTAAAAAGCCACATACGAACTATAAAGTTTCAGCAGTTACAACCACATTTAAATACGGTGAATCCATTAAATTATAACTTCAGAACAGAATTCACTCTTGAGATTATTGACACCCTGGAAACCCTCCGTTTTTATTATAACATGCACTGATGAATCTGCACAATAAGAATAGGGAATTTTATTAAAGGGATAGTTCACCCAAAAATAAAAATTCTGTCATTATTTACATTATTTTCCAAACCTGCATGCTGTTATTTCTGTGTGATCTTTCGATCAATGCAAATTCAGCTTTTTATTATTATTTTTGTCTCATGCAAGTTTTCTAAGACAAAATGTTAACCTGAGGGAGGGAAATTAATAAAAAAAACAGGACCACAATTGATTTCAGTAGTTAAACACAAAAATACTAACTACTCCTACTGTCATTAATACTATTTATAAATACATTTTAAAAAGCCTCAGTAAATTCATTTATTTTGGTCCACAAAATTCTGAAGAAAAAAAAGTCCCTCAAGATCCTGATGTGACTGAATGATATTTTTGCTATCTTGATTTTCATTGAAAAACATCCACATACAGGTTTGGACATGATGGTGAATAAATGATGACAGAACTTTAATTTTCACTTGTTTCTTTAAGAGAGGAAATCTGATTTTATATGATCTTAAATCTTAAGTCATCTGGTGGCAGTAGTTTGTCTGTGATGGATTATGGTTTGCTGAATGTGTGCCGAGCTCTTCTCACCCTCACTGAGTGTTAATGAGTGAGAGCTGATAAATGAACAGACATATCCTACTGAGATAGTATGAGCCACCACATCTGTTTCTTTTCTCTCTCTCTCTGTCCCTCAGCTGGGAGGAGGATGTGGGTGATACATATGAGAGCGACTCACTTCAGTCTCCTGTGAGACTAGACAGACGCCGCTGGTCCATTGTCCTTAGATGGTGATTAGAACACAACCAGCCCTGGAACCACTGCACATATATTAATCATTTAGACTCAAACTCACTGCAGAGTGTTTTTAAATATGAATCGTGTCACTCTTTAATATTCAAATACTTTAGTTTGATATGGGTTTATTTCCCAAAAAAGTGTTAAAAGTGTCTCTCAACCCGTCCAGTTGTGTGGGACTACCCGTTATTTTTGACCAATGAGAGATCAGCATGGAATTTGATTCAAAAAACAGATTGTTTTTCTTTGTCTGTGTACTGTAAGTAGAAGTCATGTGTGGCTTTATATATTGTCAGCTCAGTTATGTAATCCCAGATGAAACATTTCCTAGTAAACATTAACTGTATATATAGTTATTCTACAGTTATGTAAATATGATTGTATTTTAATCCACATGGACTCAGGTTACCTATAGCTAAAGAATATACAAAAAAATAATAATTCAGAAGAAACTGTATGTCTACTGAACTTAACTATTAGATTGCCTTGTGACCCTTTTCTGAGTAATATCACATAAGCGCACTTACTAAAAGTCATCAGATTCCCCTAAATGTTAACTTTCCTCGCCCAATTAAGTATTTTGAGGAGTTTTTGCCAATCTGAACAAACAGAACACTGGACTTCATTAATAAGTCATAAACAAAAATCACACTTTGGTTGTTTGTGGTCAAAATAGACCGACCATAGGAAATGAATGGGAATGACCCTAAAATTAGGAGGGTTAAGGTAAAGTGTGTAATTTTTGTGTCACTACTGTGATATTGACTGTTTTCAAGCCGTTTTCTGAACAATCCCTATGTCTTCCATTGGTCAGGTAAACAAAACTGCCCAAACTCATGTCATTGGTTAAGCCAGTGTTGGGCTGGTCGGGATGGTCCAATAGAAATATTGGTGAAAATTGCACAAGAGGTGGAGGCAGTGCCTCCGTCTCACTATGATTGGCCGATTCACTAGTCAATGCAATAATGCCTGCCTATAATGTTCTCTTGATCAGTATGATTGACTAATATCCCTGTCAATGGGATAATGCACCTCTCACGCTCACAACAGGATGGTAAATCAGTCTAAATGGGTCAGACTGCTGTAAATGGATGGATTAATCACAGAGCACAGATAATAGGTCCAAATTAACATTAAATTACTGACGATCTGTGAGTGATCTGACTTTTAGAGAGCAATCAGCTGTTTCTTTTTTCTGAATATTATTGTTGACTAATGGTCTGAAAAGGTGACTTAAAGGGATAGTTCACCCAAAAATAAATATTCTGTCATTAATTAATCACCCTCTTGTCGTTCCAAACCCATAAGACACAAATTAAGATATTTTTGATGAAATCCGAGAGCTTTCTGACCTTCCATTGACAGCAATGCAACTGAAATGTTGCAGAAAGGTAGTTAGGACATTGTTAAAATAGTCCATGTGACATCAGCGGTTCAACCTTAATTTTATTAAGCTCCGAGAATAAAACAATTTCTTCTCTTCCGTGTCAGTCTTCAAGGCACATTCACAAAAGTACCGCAACGCATGGTTATTTGAAGCAATATAAAAATAAACATTAAGATTTTAAAGTGTTACTGTAATTATGCATGATGTTCATCATTTTTGATCGCTAATTGTTTAGTCTGAACGGTAGAGGCCTGTTCTCCTTCATCTTCTCTTCTAGCTAGTTTTTGCTCTCTGCCGCAGTGTCCAGCTCAGTTTCTTTTTCTGCTGGCATAATAGCAAGAGCTTTCAAAAAACATATACAATGGCTTTATTAATAACAGGAGATGACCGTCAGCCTGCCAGTTTGACACAACTTGCGTTGTCGTTTTGTGAGTCGGAGCCCAGCGTCTCTTCTTCTCTTTCTCTCAAGGCTGAGAAGTGTGATTGCAGCAGACGGATACATTGACATAAGGGAATACTCAGGAGTGCTCACAGTTCTTATCCTCCACAGAGAGAAGGAAAAGAAGAGAGAGAAAGAGTGCAGTTCCTCCCCTGTGGCCTTGTTTCCTTTCCTAGTGAAAGCGTCTGACATTTCTTCAATATGGTGCCTTTGTCACAGTCGTGCCCCCCGGTTTATTGATCACTGCCTCTGCATGGCCCCTCATAACACACAAACAGATGTACACACACAGCTAATGGATTAGTTTGCTCAAAAATGAAATATTTTAATTTAATCTGACATAATATGGTGAGAAAATTATAACAAAGTAATTTTTGAGTGAACTGTTCCCTTATATGTACTATAAGGTCGGAAGAAAACACCAACCGGCCTTCTCAACAATAGCGTCTAGGAGAGACTGGTGTTTTATTTTAGGACATGTAGTTGAGTGATGTCAGGTAGTAGGGACATTTTCTGCATGCTGTTCTTTAGTTTTTGTTGTTTACTCTACTTGTTGTTTACTGACAAATACTGCTCACATGGTTTTCTATATATGGTAACAAATACTCTTTCACAGGTATGTTTGTCATGATTAATCGTGTTTTCAGCATCTGTCGTCTCAATATGTGTGAATAAAAACTATTGTCATAGTATATACACACAGAAACTAAATGATCGTAACATGTATGATTCATACATGTATACATGTTTTGAGGTGCAGCACCTTATTTGTCAAAAACAGAAATGTAATGTTTTGTTGTAAATTATATCTTAATTTGATCACGTTGTAAGAGAATGTTTAAATTCTTAACATTTTATGAATTAATTTCATTAGACACCATTTTTGTTGATACATTTGTCTTGAATCATACAGAATTTCAGAAAAATAAAATAAAATAAAATAAATTTCATGGGGCCCAAAATTAAAATGTATAAAAGCTATGTTTACATTCATTCTTGAGGTCTAAAAACATGTGGAATGCATTTTTCCCCATTAGTGATATCAAATTAATATTGTGTATATATATATTACGATAATAAAAAAATATATATTACGATAATATTTTGTCCATATCACCCAGTCTTACTTCATCTCATTTGAATCATTAGTAACCATTACAATAAGCTTATAGTTTTTGACATTAACTGACATGAACTAACAATGAACAATACTTATAAAGCATTAATTATTTCTTAGTTGATGTTAATCTCAGCATTTTCTAATACATTTTAATACATGCTGTAAAATTGGTTAATACTTTAATATTAACAAAAGAGGTCTTATTGTAAAGTGTAACTGAACCATTTTAAACATCTCTCAAAAGCACCATTTATTATAGTGGAAAATGTTGCACCTGAGTGAGTGAGTGAGTGAGTGAGTGTGTGAATGAGTGAGTGAGTGAGTGTGTGAATGAGTGAGTGAATGAATGAGTGAGTGAATGAATGAGTGAGTGAATGAATGAGTGAGTGAATGAATGAGTGAGTGAATGAATGAGTGAGTGAGTGTGTGAATGAGTGAGTGAGTGAGTGTGTGTGTGTGAATGAGTGATTGAGTGAGTGAGTGAGTGAGTGTGTGAATGAGTGAGTGAGTGAGTGAGTGAGTGAATGAGTGCACAATGTTGAGGAATATTCTATTCTAATTCTATTCTTTAAAAACTTGCCCCTTTTAGACTTGCACTCTATTCATTTACTAACTGCTTGTTTTCTTTAAAAAACACTAAAACTCTTCTCTATTTTTTTTGTATTCTATCTATTTGTTTTCTTTTATTTATTATACAATGAACAAAAAGCAAAAAAGGCCTCTAACACTAGCTTGCTCTATTCTTTTTCTATTCTATTTGTTTTCTTTTTATTTATTTTGTTGTTAAAAAAACCTTGCTACGTGTATTGCGTTAGGTTAACTGAGACTTGTTATAGCACTTGTATATCATTGCTCTTTTGTTGATTTTGATTGCTTCCATTGTCCTCATTTGTAAGTCGCTTTGGATAAAAGCGTCTGCTAAATGTAAATGTAATGTAATGTAATATATTGAATAATGGTTGAGAATGTGCATTTGTGTGTGTTTTTGCAGCAGGAAGCTGTGAGAATGAGGAGCGCGTGTTTCGTGAACGCATGCGTCCCAGGAAAAGGCAGGGAGCCGTCCGGAGGAGGGTGCATCAAGTCAACGGACACAAGTTCATGGCCACCTACCTGAGACAGCCCACCTACTGCTCGCACTGCCGCGACTTCATCTGGTGAGTCCCGCAGCGTCGCCTGGTATTTACAGCCCTGTAGCGTGCTGTTTGTACAGCTGTGTGCGTTGGTAAATCTGCGTCTGAGTTTTGACATAACCAGTGTACACTGTCCCTCCTCACGGGTGGTTTACCCTCAGTGGGCTGCGTTTCCATGGTAACTACAGGAAAAGCCCTGAGGCTCAGAGCAACAATATGAGCGTATTGAGTGCGTCTGGCCTCCTCCACACTGCGCAAGAACACCGCCATGCACAGGCACACTGTGTCCCGCCTCTCTAGAGAACAGAGGAATATGGCTGTTTTAAAAAATAAGGTGCAGAGCTGATGTGTGGGACTAAAACTGAAAGACGAGCAGTGAATAACCAGAATCAGAATCAGAATCAGAAAGAGCTTTATTGCCAAGTATGTTTGCACATACAAGGAATTTGTTATAGTGTCACAAGCTTCCAGTACACGGAGACAACAACAACACACAGATAATAAAAATGAGATGTGAATAAAATACACATGCATAAATATAAACCACAAAAATATATAGATGGTATAGATGGAATAGGAATAGAATAAAATAAAATAAGTTGTAGGGATGTACTAGGGTTTAGGGTGATAAATAAGTATAAGGTTATTGCACATACTGTACTTTAATTGCACAATGGGAGAACATTAACTGTTCATGAGGTAGATTGCCTGGGGAAAGAAACTGTTCTTGTGCCTGGCTGTCCTGGTATTCGGTGCTCTGTAACGCCGACCAGATGGCAAAAGTTCAAAAAGGAGATGGCTTGGATGTGATGGATCCAGAGTGATTTTCTGAGCCCTTTTCCTCACTCTGGATGTATACAGTTCTTGGAGGGTAGGCAGGGGGGCACCAATAATCCTTTCAGCAGTCCGAACCGTTCTCTGTAGACTTCTGATGTCTGATTTTGTAGCTGAACCAAACCAGACAGTTATTGAAGTGCACAGAACAGACTCGATGACGGCTGAGTAGAACTGTTTCAGCATCTTGGATGACCTGAGGGTGAGTACATTCCATTTTGCATAATCAAGTTGGAAACCCTTTGTCAATAAAATGCAATTGCTAATGTTAACAGATACAACTTTTTTACACATTTTAAAATGCTGATAATATCATGCTGATAATGCTGTAAAATTAAGGTTCATTGTTATGTTATACTACTGAATGTAGTTGACTATATGTTAACAAATGGAAATATATTTAAAGTATTAGCATAATGTCCATAATAATGAAGTAGGTAGAGCACCTTTTTCAAGGTCACTTGCAAACACCAAATGTAAGTAAAAATTGGATGAGGCAAACAAAGCTATTCATTAGATGACTAGTAACTTGAAATTGTCAGTTCAAAAGACAAACTTTCCTCAGTGGAATATGTACCATGCTACAGTACGTTTATGCATGACGCTCTCTCTCTCTCTCTCTCTCTCTCTCTCTCTTACATTTGGTGTGACAAATCACAGTGTCTTCATATTTACATCACAGAGAGACTCTTTCCTCATGTACAAAAACATACAGGAGAACTGATCTCTCTTGCTTCTCTTCACAGGGGTGTATTAGGAAAGCAAGGGTATCAGTGCCAAGGTAGGCAAATACCATATTTCTCCATGTCAGATGTTTTGTTCAACAGCTTAGACAATTTGTTAGGTCATAAAAATGTTAGCTACTCTAAATCTAAAGCAACAAAACACATGTGCAATGTCATCCTCATCATGTAGCACTTTTCCATACACCAACAGTTCAAAGTGAACACAGCCATTTAGCTAACATCACCATGAAGACTCATGCACTATTCTTCAAAGTTCTCTGTTTTCCACAGAATAAAATAACATCATGCATGTGCGTATTCTGCGTAAATAATGACAGAAGTTGTATTTTTTGATGAACTGTTCCTTTAAGCCGTGACTAGCTCACGATCTGAACTGAAGGAAACTACTGGCATGGACAGGAACCTCCTAAAATATCATATCTATACTGCAGCCCAAACATTCTTATCTGTGAAGCCAGAGTAATACATCAGAAAGTAAAGCTGATCTCATCTGCTTATTTCTGTTGATCATCTCTGTTTTAGAATAAAATAACATCATGCATGTGCGTATTCTGTGTAAATAATGACAGAAGTTGTATTTTTTGATGAACTGTTCCTTTAAGCCGTGACTAGCTCACGATCTGAAATGAAGGAAACTACTGGCATGGACAGGAACCTCCTAAAATATCATATCTATACTGCAGCCCAAACATTCTTATCTGTGAAGCCAGAGTAATACATCAGAAAGTAAAGCTGATCTCATCTGCTTGTTTCTGTTGATCAGTGTGCACCTGTGTAGTTCATAAACGCTGCCATGAGCTGATCATCACGAAATGTGCGGGTCTGAAGAAACAGGAGGACACCACAGAGGAGGTGAGAGGAACCTGCAGAAATGATGTCTCACTTTTAATATCTCAGTTATCACCAATGAGAGTGAAATACAAACTTTTGCTTAGGTCAGACGTCTCCTCTAGAGTTTTAAACTGTGTACAAATTTGCAAATATATCTGTCTGGAATGAAATGTCAGCAATTTCAATATAAACTAAATATTTCTCACCAAATTTATCCTAGAGTTACATGTGCTATCCACATAAATTTTAAACAATGTATTTTTTTCTTTATTATTTTCAATATTAGGACATATCCATTAAATCTCATGAGCTAAAGAGCAACACCTGAACTGGTGTGGAAAATTATACCATGTTTTTACTGTTATAAACAACATTACTGTGTAGTCTTTATCACATGGGTGTTAATACCCACAATTGTAAGATTATAATATTTATTTTATTTTATTTTTGGGGGGGGGCAAAAATCACTGCATTTTGCAGCTTCACTTGTTTTAAAATGCTTGCAAGTGCTGCATAAACGTCTTCCTGATCCTCTATCGCCCCCTGCAGGTGGGATCTCAGCGCTTCAGCGTCAATATGCCTCATAAATTCAGTATTCACAACTACAAAGTCCTGACGTTCTGCGACCACTGCGGCTCATTACTGTGGGGCCTGCTGCGGCAAGGGCTTCAGTGCAAAGGTGAGAGCGGCATTCTGGGAAATGTAGTTAAAGAGCTGTCCCAGGAAAAGCTTGAAATATCAGGGAAATTGAAATTAGTTGATAATTTCATGGAATTTGTATAGAATTTTCTGTGGTCAGTGCACATGTTTCTTTAAAATATTTTTGTAGGCTATATTTTTGAGTGCTTGTGTAAAACTGCCCGTTAGTCTTATAGTTTATTATTTAATATATTAATTTTAAAAAATGGTAGTTGACATACAAATGAAAATATGCCCAGAAATATAACCCAGTGTTATTTTAGTATAATTTGGATTTTTTTTTTTTTCTGCAGTTTTTATTATTATTTTAAATTTGGTTTTATAATTTTTGTTTTCGTTTTAATTTTTTATTAAAAAATTTAGTAGTTTGATGTGTGGTTTCATCATTTTTATTATTATTTTTAATTGTTTTAATTTTTTTATTTCAATTTTAGTAGTTTTAGTTATTTTAGTACAGCAGCCTTAAATGAAAATGGCAAATGTTATCTTGGCAATTATCTGAAATAAGTTTTTTTTTTGTAAATATATACTTTATTTTATTTCAGTTCAGTTCTTTTTTTAAATTTTATTTCAAGTAACTTTTTTCATTTTTTAAAATTTTATATATATATAATATATATATATATATATATAAAATTTTAAAAAATGAAAAAAGTTACTTGAAATAAAATTTAAAAAAAGAAAATAAATAAAAATGAAAAAAGTTACTTGAAATAAAATTAGCACTATAGTAACAAAGTTAACAATAACAAATAACAAAGCACTATAGTTTTGGTTTTAGTTAACTATAATATCCCTGCTTTAACCCTGAATCTTCCACGTTTCAAACATACTCACACTGACATGCATTGAAATACGCTGTAAGTTCTCATGCCCTCTCGCTTCATTTTTCTGTCCTCAGTTTGTAAGATGAATGTGCACAAGCGTTGTGAAAGTAATGTAGCTCCTAATTGTGGGGTGGACGCCCGGGGCATTGCTAAGGTGCTGTCTGACCTCGGAGTCACTCCAGATAAACTCTCCGGCAGCGTCCAGAGGAGAAAAAAGGTGAGACTGAGAAGTTAAAAGCCTCCCCCATGCAGCTGTAGATAATAGGAAATACACTCTGATGATTACTAATGACATAATGGCCTTTACAGCGAGCAGCAGTTAGGTACCTGATTAGGCCTCCTGAAACATAATGATGATTGAATGATGAAGATGATTTGTTCCTGTTTTTAACACAGATCTCTCAGGGTCCAGATCCGCAGCCCTTACCCATATCCCTGCAGTCAGAAGAGGATCGATCCAAATCTGCTCCCACATCACCATGTGACCAGGGTAAACACACACTCGGAGCTCTGCAGATGACTCTTGGGTTAAACACAATAATTTTGACTTGTCCTTAAAGTGATAGTCCAAACAAAAATGAAAATTCTGTCATTTACTCACCCTCATGTCATTCTAAACCTGTAAGACTGACTTTCTTCTGCGAAACATAATAGATGATGTATAATGTTAGTTAGAATACAGATTTGGTTCCCATTGACTTCCATTGCGTTTTTTGTCCAAAGAGTGGAAGTTGATGGGAATTCAATTCAAAGTCAATTCTTGAAAATATCTGCTCTTGTGTTCAGCAGAACAAAGAAACTCAAACGGGTTTGGAATGACATGAGGGTGAGTAAATGATGACTGAATTATTAGTTTTGGTATGCTTTTAAAAATGTAATAAACTTAATGTGGAATTCTATGGGGTCTTTGTACCAAAATGTGACACTTGTATTTTGTCATGCAGTGGCTTTGTATGACAAACAAACAGAATTTTTAATAAAATCAGCTTGCCAATGGTCTAAAACAGACATATTCTGTTTAAAAGCTACTACTTCTATGATATGATGCTTTATTATCATTTTGGAGCTTGACCGCATATCATTCACTTCGTTATATGGAAATGAACAACTGGGATATTTGGCAAAAATTCTACTTTTGTGTTCAGTGGATGAAAAATGTCATGGTTTGACAACCAGTTCTTTACAGATATGTGATTTCTGATCTGATATTCATCACGTGGCTATATAACTTTGGACAGGCAAGGTTAGTAAGTAGTTTTTTTGCACTAGTCAGTGGCTGTACATTATATTTCAAAAATTTAGGGTGGGTAAGATTTTTTTATGTTTTAAAGAAGTCAGGCAGCCAAGGCTGTATTGCTGTAATTTGATAAAAAATACAGTTAGAAAATGTAACATTGTGTAATATTATTACAGTTTTAAGTAAGTGTTTGTATATTGTAATATATTTTAAAATTAAATTTATTCCTGTGATGTCAAAGCAGAATTTTCAGCATCATTGCTCAAGTCTTCAGTGTCACATCTTCAGAAATCATAATAATATGCTGATTTGCTGCTCAAGAAACATCTCATATTATTATTAAAGTTGAAAACAGCTATGCTTCTTAATATATTTTTGTGTAAATATTCTTTAATAAATAGAAAGTTCCAAAATAACAGCTTTTATTTTAAATAGAAATATTTTGTAATATTACAAATGTCTTTACTGTCACTTTGGGTCAATTTAATGCATCCTTGCTAAATAACAGCATAAAGAAATCACACTTTCAAAACTGGTGCTGTACTTTTACACTTTTTTTATTACAAGCGTTACAGTAAACATATTTTTTGGTTTATTTTACAACTGAAGGAGGAGAAAAATGTGACTCAGTATGGGGTCTCATAGTGTGTAATGCGATTTTTCACTTCTTATTTTGTGATCTGCAGATATAAAGGACCTGGAGAACATCAGAAAGGCACTTTCGTTTGACCATCGTGGGGAAGAGCTGAAGCCAGCCTCGTCCTCCTCTCTGACCGAGGGCCTGTCAGAGGAGACAGGGGAGGCCAGAGAGAACGGAGAGGTGAAGACGCTCCAGACCAAAAGGATGACGCTGGAAGAGTTCTCCTTCATCAAAGTGCTCGGGAAAGGCAGCTTTGGCAAGGTGGAGCTTTGTGCAATTCTGCCCTCTATTTTCTGCATTAAAGGGATAGTTCACCCAAAAATGAAAATTCTGTCATTAATTACTCACCCTCATGTCGTTCTAAACCTGCAAGACCTTCGTTAATCTTCAGAGCACAAATTAAGATATTTTTGATGAAATCCGAGAGATTTCTGAACCTCCATAGACAGCAATGTAACTACCACGTTCAAGGCTGAGAAAGGTAGTAAGGACATCGTTAAAATAGTCCATGTGACATCAGTGGTTCAACCGTAATGTTATGAAGCTACAAGAATACTTTTTTTGTGCAAAGAAAAAAAAAACGACTTTATTCAACGATTTCTTCTGTAACTGCCATTTGTCAGTCCAATTATATTAGTAGTATGTGTGTTTATTTTAGTTTCATTGATATACTATTGTAGTTTTCAACATTTTGAATCAGTTTCATTTTTATATTTTCGGTTTTCATCATATCTTCTTCTCAAGTAGCTTCATAAAATTACGGTTGAACCACTGATGCCACATGGACTATTTTAACGATGTCCTTACTATCTTTTTGGGCCATAAAACGTTTCAGTTGCATTGCTGCCTATGGAGGGTCAGAAAGCTCTCTCATGTCGTTCCAAGGGTCAGAAACTATCCCTTTGAGTACCAGTTTTGTTTCCTGTCAGCAGTGTGAATATAGTTTGGTGTCGTTTGTAATAAAGGCCCGGTTGTCTTCTGTACAGGTGATGCTGGCAGAGTTAAGAGGCACTGATGAGGTTTATGCGGTGAAAGTGTTGAAGAAAGACGTCATCCTGCAGGACGATGATGTGGACTGCACTATGACTGAGAAACGCATTCTAGCGCTGGCCAGAAAACACCCTTACCTGACCCAACTCTACTGCTGCTTTCAGACCAAGGTAAGAGACCGCGTTTCTGCTCTAGAGTCAGCTCATCCTCATTACAAACCCTTAAATAATGAGCAAAGTTAACAATGAAGGCAGTCACTACATAACAAGATATTCTGCCTATTTAGAAACGATGTTTTGCAGAATGCCACTAGATGGAGCTGTAATATTACATGATGTCAGGTATTCAGAAAGCAACTCTTGATTGTAGCTTTGATGCTCATTTTTGGAGATGGGACAGCAGTTTAGCTCTTTATCTGAAGAGGGCAAGATTGTGACATGGGGAATAACCACAAAAACAGGCCAATTAATCAGGGAAAAATTTGAAATGTTTAGGCTTAAAATTTTACATTTGGATAGTCAGGTTTCCAGCTAACAAGGCTTTTAAGGGGTCATATGATGCAATTTAAATTTTTCCTTTCTCTTTGGAGTGTTACAAGCTCTTGGTGCATAAAGAAGATCTGTAAAGTTGCAAAGACTAAAGTCTCAAATCCAAAGAGATATTCTTTATAAAAGTTAAGAGTCAGCCACGCCTACCTAGAACGGCTAGGTTCCTATATTGAAATGAGAACAATACAATAAATCTAAAGTAAACTGCTAAAATTAGCTGCTGTCATTTTGTGCATTGAAATTGAATATGAATAAAAAGAATACATATTTATCGATGTATTACCATTTCTTATTGTCATTAGAAGAACTATAAAAAGCACTTTAACCTACATGCACTTTTTTTTTTCTTAAATTACCTAAAATAACTGACAGAATTAAAACAAGATCAAATACACTAAATAAAAAAATGCAATATAATCATTAAAAATACCAATCATCAATTAAATAAATATAAATATTTTGGATAGTCAGGTTTCCAGCTAAAATGCTTTTAATTAAAATGAAAACCAGCCATAAAAACAGAAATAGGTTGCTATATTGAAATGAGAATGATACAACAGAACCTAAAATAAATTATATTAAATAAAAAATTCAGTCATAATTTTGCCTTGAAATAAATTTAAATAAAATATATGAATAACATGAATACATATTTATTGATGCACTCCCATTTCATCTTATCAGAAGATCTATAAAAAGCACTTTAACTTACATGTACTTTGTTTTTCTTAAATGACCTAAAATAAAAAAGGTCAGATACAAAATATAAACCTAATTGTAATCACGAAAAATGTCAAACATACAACAATTAAATAAATATAAATGTAAAATAATTGATTTACCAAATAAAACCAGAGTAGTTAAATAAAAACATACAGATAAAAGTAATAAAGCCCAAAACTAAAAAGCTACAATAATGTGACCCTTAAAAAAAAAGTTATGTAATTTTACTGAATATAATAGAAACATGTTGGTCTTATTAATAGCTGGGCTCTATTTCCTGATTTTAAAATGATTTTCAGGTCAGGAAAAGTCATGGTCATTTTTATACTGACAATACATTTATACAATTATGTTTAGCTCTGAAATATTTATGTAATTATTGTTCCTCTTCAGGAACGAGACGCTGCGTCGGAAACGCTAGGGGAACGCCTTCTGCGACCCATGCTCTGAATCACATGTGAAATCAGTCCAATAGCTGAGCGGGACGTCACGGGCGGGTGACGTCATGACCAGGAAGCTATAAAAGCACGTGCGGCGGAGCCAGTGTCAGCTTTCTGTCATTCAGCGAAGCGCTCTGTGTGTGTCAGTCATATTTATTGTTGTCTGTCTATTGTGAGAAAAAGTCTAATAAGCAGCTATGTCTAAGGCTCACGCTAAGACAAAGCATGCAAAGGGCGAGTGCAAGCCACGTTGTAGGTTGTGTGTTCCTCCCTGCCCAAAGAAAACGTTATATCACGAGTGGGGATACACACAGCCTGTGCGTGGCTTGCTTGGGAGCGAAGCACGCAGAGTCGGCTCTTGAGGGGGCCGGCTGCCCGCATTGCGAGCGCCTCCCACTGCATACGCTTCGCTTCCGGAGGGCTCTTTTTGAGGAGGGAGCCTTCGCCAGCGTTCCTCGCGGTGCTGGCCCCGCTTCCGTCGAGTCACCAAGGCTGCATTTATTTGTTCATAGAAACAGTAAAATCGTCTCAGGTTACGTATGTAACCCTAGTTCCTCGAGGGAACGAGATGCTGCGTCTCGGTGCCATACTTCCGGCATCCCTGCCAGCGCTTGCCTCATTCCTGAAGCTGACGCTGGCTCCGCCGCACGTGCTTTTATAGCTTCCTGGTCATGACGTCACCCGCCCGTGACGTCCCGCTCAGCTATTGGACTGATTTCACATGTTATTCAGAGCGAGGTCACAGAAGGCGCTCCCCTAGCGTTTCCAACGCAGCGTCTTGTTCCCTCGAGGAACTAGGGTTACATACGTAACCTGAGACGTTCTTTGTGAATGTGTTCTACAATGTTGATTTTTACAAATCTCTATCCAATATCCAGTTATGGTGATTTATTGATCAAAATGTGTGTGCACCCATTTCATAAGATGCATCCGTCTCAGTCAGTTAAGTATTATAGATGGTAAATGAATTATTTATTGCAGTGACTCGTTATAATTCTGAATGTTCTTATCCATTCTGCAAATTGTTACTGGATCAGCCGAACCCTGCAGCTGATCACACACACACACACACACACACACACACACACTTGGTCAGGTTGTCTGTTCCCTGACACAGAAGGGCAAGCATCTGTTTGAAGGGAACATTTCTTTTATGGTCTATAATAAGCCCACATCAGATAAAGCCTCCGCATTAGGTCACCATTCTAATTCCCATTCAGTCTCTCTCGGTCTGCTGGTGTGATAATTGTTTTAGATTTGCGGCCAGGCCTAACCTCACATGAACATCATGTTTATTTTCCTCCACTAAAATCTGGAGTCAGCCATCATGACGGCATCCTCCACTCCTCTAATTTATTTACTTCTGCAGTTTCCCCAAACAAGCGAAAAGAACATTGTGTCCTTTACTGCGAACACGAGTGGGAGGAGGTGGGGAAGAGGGAGGAAAAGCCAGAGTGTAGGATGAAAGAAGGTTGAGAGGGTGGAGAAGATGACCTCTGAAAGCCCTTAACGACCTTAGCAGTGATGAGCTTTAACTCAAAGTGACATTGAGGAATAGTCACCGTTATTTAATCACTTTATAGGGCGAGTAGAGCTGTGACAGAAAATGCTGGGGGAATGAGATCGGGAAACACATCTGCTGGATTCGTAATAATAGAGGAGCTGCTAATCCACAGCTACAGGTTTATTATAGGTACTTAACACTAAACCTGAAACTAAAATTAAAAACATTTAAAAAAAACATTTTCATTACGTGAAACAAAATAAATGTTATCAGAAAAAATTTATATAAATATATAAACTTTTTATTTCAGCTAGTTGCCAAGACAGCATTTCTTATTTTAATTTAGTGTAACTGAAACTGAAATAAAAAATAATAAAAACAATATAGACATACTGTATATGCAAAACTATTAAAAATGACAAAAACACAACACAATTACTAAAACTTTAACTAAATTAAAATGAAAACTGAAAATATAAAAATGAAACTGATTCAAAATGTTAAAAACTAGTAAATCAATGATACTAAAATGAACACACAATACTAATATATAATTGGACTGGGAAGTGGCAAGTATGAAAAACCAGGGCTAGTTGTCACGCTTTTTACTCCAGTTGGTTGATCTATTTTTTTTTTAAGTCAAAAACATATACTTTAATAACGACTTGGCTTTAACATTTCCACCTTTATTTCCCAAGAAAGAAAAAACAAACAAACAGAAAGATAGAAAAACAGCTCTTTATGTACTATATAGGGTAAATTGTCAGAATGAAATCTGTAATTAAACACCCAACTTTAGGCTTTTTAGTAAAATTTAACATTGGAACAATTATAATGGCTAAGAAATAATGAAACAGCAACAATGTAACCAAAAAGTAACATACAAAATAATCTAATCATTTTTTTTTTTTGGCAACAGTAATTATTTAGTTTACATTTTACAAAAATGTAACATAATTTGTGTTTCTGTTTGAACAATATGTAGAGATAATCCACATTTATGTTAATGAACCTTTGACTCAAAACCTTACAGTTGTGGAGATTATAACCTTTTCGCATCTCCATGTGACAACTAACTCCTGTCCACCTTATTTTAAGAGCATATTTGAGTGATGATATTTGGTATCATATTATTTAAATTCATTAATGTAATCATAAACACTTTGGTATATAGAGCAAGTAGTTTTAGCATTTACTGCACTTTGCTCTAGTCATTTACCTGTAGGAGGATATGCTTTTAATGTCCTGACATATAGCAGAAAAACAATATATGAACAGTGAATCAGACTCATGCATGGCTGAAAATCGTCAAACAGTAATGTCATTTCCACTACATGATTTTTATGATGTTACAAAAGAATTATATTTCTAATAAATGCTGTTCTTTTAACATTTCTATTCATTAATGAATCCTGAGAAAAAAAAGTATCAGTTTCCATAAAAATATGAAGCAGCACAGCTGTTTCCAACATTGATAATAATATGAAATATTTCTTAAGCAGCAAATCAGCATATCAGAATGATTTCTGAAGGATCATGTGACTCTGAAGACTGGAGTAATGATGCTGAAAATTCAGCTTTGCATTTACATTACATTTAATCATTTAGCAGACGCTTTTATCCAAAGCGACTTACAAATGACAAAGAGAGCATTACAATAGTTTAGTCTGGAGAGAACAAGAGCTTGTACAAGAAGTTGTGTGGCTTGCTCTGACAGGAAGGGTCTAATCTTCCTAATGTTGTATAAGGCAAATCTGCAGGACCGGGCCGTTGTAGCAATGTGGTCGGTGAAGCTTAACTGATCATCGATCACAACTCCTAGGTTTCTGGCTGTCCTGGAAGGAGTTATGGTTGATGAACCCAGTGAGTTGAAGGTGATGGTCCTTCATCCAGCTAGAAATATCTCTCAGACAGGCTGCAATGCGGGCAGCTACCGTCGGATCATCTGGTTGGAA